TAATGTTCATATCTTGATTTAAGGAGAAAATAGCCAAATTAAAACACCAGGATCATGTAGGTACAAACATTTAAAGATCAAACTGACAATGAGAATAGAAAGTAAATTGCAACCAGAGCTCAAAGGAACCAATTTGTGCCCATTCTCACTTTCTATTTGGTACACTTGAAAAATGACCTGAAACTTTATTTTTTTAGCTCACTGAGCCTATTTGAAAGAAAAGAGGCCAGGTTTCTTGTGTCTTTTTTGAAAGATTTTGATTTCTTCTTTTGATAAGGAGCTTGGGAATTGCCCCGTTTGGACGTGAATATGTTTTTGTTCACACACTTTTTTTTCCTGTGCATTTGTTGTGTTTTGAGATTATCTTGTGTGGTGCCTGTTTGTTTGCATCTGGGGTTCTGAAGTATTAATAAAAAAAAAATTAAAAAGTCCTATTTGGAACATGGCAACTAGCACGAAAGATATATATACAACTACAAATACTAGTAGTCTATGTTTTTTTACATTACAAGCCTTTAATCCTTCCACGTAAATTATACTTGATTCTGTCATCATTATGTTTTTGAGCTTTTTGAACACTCCTTTCTAAATTGATCGAGCTTTTCTTTTCAGCACAAATGCCACTTTACTCATTTACTCCTCTTGTCCCACATTAGGTGCATGTTGTTGGTAGCACACAACCACAATGAGACTAGGCCACATCTCTTTTGTGTTATGTCCTTTTTCCATCAGGCTCTCCTCTTTCCTCCTTTCAACTCAAGATCGATACGTGCGCACTGAAACGAAGCCAATCAATGTCTTCACAAAAAGGCGTTTCGCAGAGAGGTGCATTGTGGGTAAGGCTGCCTCCTCTTCAAACCTGGTGGAGTGACAGAACTCATGCGTTTCTCTTGTTAGAGCCTCGACTACATGCAGCTGTCAATCAGAGAGGATAAACATGTTAGTGCAGTGTGGAGGCTGGGCACTGAAGCGTGGACCTGGCAACATGTGGACACACAGAGAAGAGAGAACGGAGTATCAGGGCTTTTGTATTGTTTGGGAGTGTTTAGCTCATGTTTGTCATTCAGACGATAGACAACGAGGATTTACATAGAAATGTGCTCAAACCGGCAATAAGCATAAAGTATTTGTATTGTCCTGAGCCGCATGCAGAATCACAATACCAATGGACGTGAACAATGAGTTAGAATTAGGAATGGTCTAGTAAGGATTTGTATTAGTCGTTGCCATTTGATTTGTCTTGCTCTAGGTGGATAAACAGTGCATATATACTATTGAAAAATAAAGTAGTAAGCTTAGTGAAGGGGACTTTTTTTTTTACTTCATATTATGAAATTTGTAGTCTTTGCAATTATTATGGTGTATTTGTGTAAGAGCCGTCTCTTTAGCTTTGTTGCTCTTCTATTTCCACTGTTAATAATTAGTCTGTTTAAAAAAAAAAAAAGCACATCTGATGCACAACAAAAAACTGGGAATGACACATATAAACATGCTCATAAGACAGATTAGAAGAAAATAATACATTATGATTAATGACAAATAATAATAATAATAATAATATTAATAAGCGTAATTCTTGTAATTGCACATCAGCCAATATTGAAAATGGTCCATTCCAAGTAGAAATATCATTAAAAACAGTCCAAAAGGTAAAAACATGTCTCTGAGAACATGATGTTTCTCAGCCACACTTCAGTTCGTACATCATGAAAAGACTCTGGAGTAGGCGAAAGCGGGCGATACTGACAAAAATGTATTTCAGCATAGAAATGTGTTAAAACAGGTCTTTAAATGTAATGGAGCTCAACAGTGACCACCCACACACTACATTTCCCATTCATTTTTATTTTAGACTTTATGAAAAAAAAAAAAAAAAAAACACAAATAAAAGTTTGAAAACTCAGGCATAATCAGCTATGTGGTAACTAATGACCACAAGACCTGTACATTTATTTGAAATCTGTTTCTGAAATTTTATAAACCGCAAAGTGATTACAACATTTAGCTGAATCTTGCATTTTAGCCAGCCTTTTGGATTTTAGATATTAGCTTAGCTTTATTGATATTAGTTAGTACATAGCTGCTTATTCTCTGCAATGCCTTTAAACTCTTAATATTTGAATTCTGAAAAGTCTATGGGTAAAAATAAATGGAAAGTGTACTTCTGGAACTGGAACAAGCGTAATTGTTCAGCTCCATAGTCAAATAAATATGAAATGACTGATATTAATGCACTGTTGTGAGTGTATTAAACTACTCCATATTCAAATTTTGCAACATTCACAGCAATATCCAGAAATCGTTGTTATACCAGATCAAAATTTAAGATCAGCAGAGCTACAATCCAAACTTGAATTCACTTGAACCCAAAAAATTCATAAGTTAAAATTCAAAATTCATAACCACATGGCAGGCATGTTTTAACGATGGAATAAACCAAATGGGATAGATTTTTTTGGCATAAATTGTGATGGTTTTTCAGTATAGCACCAGCCCACAGGGAACAGCAGCATGTCCAACTCTCGCTCACATTTAAGGCATTCGTTCCATTTGTCGTCTCACATTAAAATGAGCTGCTCTGATCAAACTGAGAGTGGGATCCTCATGCTCAGGGCAGGATTTAAAGATCAAATAAGGACAGTTTATTTTTTATTTCACAATGTCATATTTTTGTACTATATATTTTTGGGTTCAACCATTCTTGGAAATATAACATAATTCATTGCGATCTTTGCCGATCTTTTGACATTCTATTCAGTTTAATGTTCACTTAGAAGAAGACTGCACAAGATATCACACTGAATCAAAATCATAACTAGAGTGGGGATATTTGTATTCATTCATTCAGTCTTTTTATAGAAAAATATTGTTGTACATGTAGTTGAGACCTCAGTAAACATGTTGTGAAATGCATGAGATTCTTGTATTAGTTTGTTAGTTCATATTTCAGTCTTCTCTCAAATGTTAATGGTCCAGTAGTAGTTTACAATATGCATTCAACTCACCAAACAGAATCCTACTTTTTCTTGCATATATAATACATGTTTAGGTTGGTAAATGTTGAAAAGTCACATGCTTTTCTGTTAAAAGGTCTGCTGGTAGGTTTTATATCAAGACACAATATCATCATTAATTTTGAAACCATGAAACTCATTAAACTTTAATTACTACAAATTCTCAACAGTTCCTTGACCACTGAAGACCAGGCAGGAATAACCCAACAGAGCCGCACTAAGTAACCATCACTCAATCAGGTCTAACCCAGCACTAAACCAGGTCTAAATTAGGTCTAACCAAAAAGTAAACCAGGTCTAACTTGTGACTAAACCAGATGTAACTCGTGACTAAACCAGGTCTAACTCGTGACTATAAACCAGGTCTAACTCGTGACTATAAACCAGGTCTAACTCGTGACTATAAACCAGGTCTAACTCGTGACTATAAACCAGGTCTAACTCGTGACTAAAAACCAGGTCTAACTCGTGACTAAACCAGGTCTAACTCGTGACTAAACCAGGTCTAACTCAGGACTAAACCAGGTCTAAAGCACCTATTATCTACTGACCATTACAGACTGGGAACGTTCGACAAGATCCTTTTTGTAGATGCTCTGATCTATTTTATTTCAACCAAAAAATATATATATAAAATAAATAAAATAAATATGTTTTAATTATATGCATGAAAGCTGAAAATAGAATTATTAAAAAAATAATAATAATTAAATTACTGAAAAAAGCATCATCTGACTTTAAAGAGTCTCCATTTCTAAACTGCTATCTAAGTCTATATTGTTCCTTCTGCAATATACGCAAACCACCAGCTTTATACTAGTGCAATGAGTGTGTTTACATGCGCATATATGCAATTACGATTATTATTATCCTGGTTTTGTGAGGGTCCATTCATGTACAGACAGTATCGTTATTTCAGTATGCTGGATAAGGTATAGCCAAAAACTGCTTCTCCCTGGGGTCTGCATAAAACCTGCTAACCAAGCTCAGAAATACATGGGATTCTTGTAGCTCAGTATTCTCAGGTTTTTGCAGCTGGAAGCTATTCAAATGTCCTCCACCTGTGAACTTAAACTTGATCTTAATCTGAATTTAGCAAATATAAAAAGGATATATAAGAAAAAAATAATTAGAAGGACATAATTATTACATGAATCAAACTAAAATCCAGCACAGGAACTGTCCATGGTTCTGACGTCATTCAGTTGCATTCACAGTACAAAGTTAAACGGTACAGTCTCCAGTAGCGCAATATGAAGAAATACATAGAAAAGATTTAAAATATAATCACAGTTTTCATCAACAAGCACTTTGCACGCTAGAAATGTCATGTCATCTGCTAGGCTCATCCGTTTTAAAAGGCTAGACTAATCCATGCTGTTTTGCATTGCTTTCATTCAGGTGTAGTCTCTATTGAATTTGTTTTATAGTTATGCATTTTTTATAGAACACCTCTCGAAGAAAGTTGAGTTATTTATTAGGCTATTTCGTGACTGCCTACACCTTTACTAATCAATTGTCATACAGAGATGGCCAAAAATACAAAATAAAGCCATAGGAGTTCATTTTAGACATGTATTCAATTACAATTTAAGTGCTTCCAGAGACTATTTTTGCATGAATAAAATAAATAAATAAATAAATAAAAACTTAGAGGCATGTCAGAGAGTGAGCAGTAGTCTAATAAAAACTTTGACTTAAAAAGGTAAAAAGGTTTAAGGTAAAACGTGGCTTGTTCAGGTAGAAAGAGATGTATTATCTAAACAAGATATAAGACAAAATGCATAGGCTGCAGTTTTACTATATTCTCAGTCTAATTATTCAAGCAAATAAAATAAAATAAATAAAGCAAATAAAACTTGCTGTAAAATTGAGTATTGTTAACACTGAAGATAAATAAAACTGGTGTTATTCTATACTGTGAGTAAAATATGACTTAGTGTGGGGAGCTCCAGTGCAGACAGCGGGGCATGACAGTTTACGTACCCGAGGTTCGCTCACCTGTATCGGGCTGAACGCGTCCGCTCCGTCCGCCGCGTTCTCCGGAGAGTGGTCCAAAACTCGGTCCCTGTACAAAGCCCATAGTCCGACATTTGGGAAGAAAAGCAGCGCGGCAATGAGCAGCCCGGCGAACTGCAGTAATCTCTTCTCCTTCCGCCTCATCTCTCCCGGGGCTGACAGCGCTCGCACGGAGGACCAGAGTGTAGGGCGAGGGAGAGGAGAGAGGTAATCCCGAGACGACGCTCTTCGAGGCGGACACGGACTGGGAGACGAGCCGCTGCTGCCGCTGCTCAAATAAGCCCTGCGTCAGTCACGAGCTGCGTAGTGCGTCAGCTTTTCAACATAAGAGCACGTATTTGGCGAGCACATGTTACAGTAGACTACACAACACCATGTCAAAATAAAAGTCCGACGATAAATAAATGGGCTAATTGAGCGAATCAAGCACGCTCAACCCAGCGGACTTTTGTTAAAACATTATTTAAGAATAGAGCATGAAATGAATTATTTTAAAGCTGATTTTTTTTAGCCTAGAAATACATACATGGCTGTAAGAACGTAATAAAACAAAAGTCATACGGTAATTTGGAGAAAAAAAAAAAAAACGCTAAGGCATACTCACAATAAGCACAAACATAGAACCTTTAGCCTAATAATAAGTAAACAGGGAAAGAAATTTAAGTAATTTAAGAAACTGACAATTTAGACCCAGTTTTTGATGTGGTCAATGAGCAAGTGTGCACAGTGGGGCCTTTTCAAGTTCCAGAAACCACACTTTGGTACTTTTGAGTTTTGAGTTCTTTTTCTGGGGCAGGTAAGGCTAGGTACTTGGTTAGGTTAAGTTAGTTCATTTGCCATTTTTTGGTTTAAAAAAAAAAAAAAAAAACACTGAACACCTAAAAGACACTTTACAAAGCAGTATTCATTCACTCCATAACTGGTGGTGGTAAACTACTATTGTAGCCACTGCTGCCCTGGGACAGACTGACAGAAGCAAGGCTTCCATTAGCCCCTCCAACCACCACCATCATACACACATGGCAATGTGAGGAAGTGATTTGCCTAAGGACACAATGACAGTTTTTGCAACTGGCGCCCTCCTGTGGTACCCGATTTTTCCAGCAGTCCCCCATCCTAGTACTAACTAAAACCCGGCCCTGCTGAGCTTCTGAGATCTGACAGGATCAGACTTTGACAGGCTGGTATGGCTACAAAATATTAATTATTAAAGTGCTACATTAAAGTTCAAAGTACATTGTTCCACAGCTTGTGTGTAGAAGCTGTTACCACGGCAAGAAGTCCTACATTTAATGGAGCATTACCTTCTTCCAGAGGGAATAAGCTCAAACATGCCACTGCCAGGATGGCCAGAGGGGTCTTTACTATTTTAAGATACCAGTACTGTATCTTAAGATAACTTGAAGGTGCATTATGTAACTTTTTGGCTGAGGATCCATCACCCGCTTGATATGTCATTGTTAAGCCTGGAATGTTAGTCAGTATGATATTAAACAACTTTACATTACATTTATTAAATTACATGTGCTTTTATAGCTCAAAATTAGTCATTCTGACTGTAAGCGGCTGCCTCTCTACAGATTTGATCTGTAACTTTGTCAAATTTCTAAATTGTCCCATGCCTAGTTACAGGTGAAGAAACTGAATGTGACCCAGGCCTATAGGAGCAGCTGCTTTCAGACCAGGATCCTTTTGGTCTCCTCTTACATATAATTTAAATAAAATCTTGTATATTCTACCTAAACCTATTCGACTTAAGTATCTTTTCTTCAAGACACAAATACTCGGAATCCACTTTCACTATTTGGCAATTTTGACTGTTGCCATGGTAACTGGTTTACAACCGTTTCTAATTTCAGATAGAAATCCAGTGTTTCCTAATGGGCCAGTGATTAGTGATAATTGTCTATGTGGGGGCTAGAATATGCATATGCTCTTGGGAAATTGATCTCATTTAGAATCCTGCATGCAGTTTTGTCTGCAGATGGGAAAAAGGGATGGAAAATTGTATATATATATATGTAATATATATTTATTTATTTATTTATTTTTTTTTTTTTTTTTTTTCCAGAACATTTCAGCTCTTTTTCAGTTCTTCAGTTCTTCAGTTGCTGGTTTTCAGATTTGAGAATGTCAAACTTCCAGATGGGGGGCAAGGCCAATTTTCCCCATGAACTCACAAAAAAAAAAAGCAACTTAAAGGGCCCATATTACATTATTTTCTGATCTATGTTATAATGTTGTACCTGGAGTTGTGTTTTTTCTTTCATTCAAATTATTTAGGCTTCATTCTTTTATTTAATATTTGAAATTCTCAGAAATTTAAGTTTCAAACCATGAACTCACCATACCCATCTTACAACAAAATAATCTGCAGTTCAACAGTCTTATTTTTAGCTGGTCCCATCTATATTGATTATTCTTGGCCAATATCATGTTGTGATGTCATTTGTCATTTCACCAATAGGGACTGACACCAGCCAACTCGCAGAATACTGGATTTCTATGCATTAACTTAGGTTGTCACTTCATATTGATGCTTTGCAGTGACATCACATCACGGTGGGGGTGTTCTACATGTATGTATGGAGGGTTTAGACATTACCTTGGTGACACAATGTACACATTAACCAACCAATTAATATTGTCTGAAAACTCAAGAAAAATTTTACTGTAATTTGATGTCCGACTTGTCAATCTCACCTGTCCAGCTAATAAAATTTTCTGGTCAGATTGTATTAAATTAAAAGTTCATATTAAAGTCTAACTTGAGTAACAAAACTTAAAGGTTGTATAGAGGATTTTCCAAGGAACGAGAAATCCAGCAACTGTTTGTCCTTTTTCAAATGTTGCGCATGCGTGAAACCACCCCCCCTCCCCTACAGCTCCCTACGTAGAAACCGCTCCTCCGGCCTCCTCCTTACGCCAGAAACAGGTTTGTTTACAGCCGGTGCGCTGCACATGACTTGTAAACAACTAACTACAGTGTTGGTTAGGCAAGGCGGAGAAGTGAGGAGGGGCGGGGCGGAGCGGGTGCGCGGAGATTCCGTGCCCGGAGAAGTGAGGAGCAGGGGGGAAGAGCGGATCGGGCAGCGGGGAGAGGAGCAGGAAGAGGGGTGCAGAGAAGGTTGCGCGGAGATTCAGTGCGAATGAACTAGCTACAACACGCAGCAGCAAGCGGACTCTTTCTTTGCCTTGAAAATTACGTTTTCAGATATAGGATATCGCTTTTCGTGTCCTGAAAAACGTTTGACTAGCTCTTGGAAATAAAGTACGTTTTCATAATAAGCAGAAGTGACCTGTCCAGGAGTAATTTGGCGACCAATGCGTCAGTCTTTAGACCCTGCGTCTGCTTCAGTTGCGCCATCGCTGGAATGAATCTTCAAGAATCACCTTAGTTTGGCTTTGCTGCTTTTCCCCTTGTCTTCTTCTTTCAGCAATCTCAAAAACGGACTTTCTTTTGCGGCTAACTGCTCCTGGATTCTTGTCTGCCATTGCAACAAACTTTGTGCTAACTGCGAGGAAGATATAGGTAAAAAAAAGCCGCTAAGAACTGTTGCGTTGGTGGAGTAAACAGCGTCTGTGCGGCTTGCGTCTGTGGACTGCGTGACAGGCGTACGTAAACCACGTACCGGCGGCGCGCAGGCAAGTCAGTTACGCTAGAAACGTAGGGAGATTGATTGACAGCCTGTCAGCTAACAGATAACGAGGCAGTGTCGTTATCTATTGACAAATGTTTAGCTGGCCCCACCACGTCCAGAGTTGATGAATTTTTATTCTCTTTTTTTTGGTCATCATAATTACAAGGCTACTGCATCTCTATAATGCTATCATTGACAATTTGAAACAAAAAAAAAATCCTCCATACAACCTTTAAGACAGAGCAGTGCTTACAGTTAACATCACACCACCAGGGAATGTTGATAACCTCAGCTGTAAAGTGTCAATCAAAGTTCAAAGTATCAAAGTTATGATTCTTGATAAGCCAATGATGTTCATTTTGTCTTCTTGTATACTTTAACTTCTTAGGTTCTTTTTAAAGACAATGCAGTAAAGTGTATTTACCTTGCTGACATGTTTCAGCTGCTCGCTGCAAGCCACCTTCAGAACTGTCACCGGTGTTGGTGGTGACGTGTCGTATATCAGCTGTTGTTACTTCCTGTAGGCGTGGTCAGCCTGGAAAAAATACAGCAAGGACACACGCAAGAACTCACGGACCATCTCAACACACAAGACGATAGGCAATATTCAATTCACACATGAGGAGGAGAAAGACGGAGCCATATCTTTTCTGGACATCAAAATCCACCACATCGCAGATGGCAGCATCAAAATTACTGTATACCGGAAACCTACACACACCGACCAATATCTGCTCTGGACATCCGAACATCCCACTGCACACAAACTTTCAGTAGTAAGAACATTATTCGAACGGGCCACACTCATCACAGACCACACCGACAGGGAGGAAGAGGAGAGACACATCATACAAGCACTCAAACAATGCCAATATCCCAGCTGGGCCATAAACAAAGGCAGAGAACAAGTTATCAATAAAACCAACAAATCCCGGAAAAAACACAACAATCCAACACAGGGCAGCAGGACCACAAAAACATAGTCACACTACCGTACATCAGAGGTATAACCGAACCCATCCAAAGAGCCATGAAAAAACACAACATAAGCACTGTAGTAAAACCATACACAAAACTCCGCCAACAACTCGTACACCCCAAGGACAAAATCCCACAAGAACAAAAATGCAATGCCATATACGAAATTCAATGCAAATCATGCAATAAATCATACATAGGGGAAACAGGCCGGGCATTTCACATCCGAAAAAAGGAACACCAAAAGGAATGCGAAAAGGAAACGTCAGGGAGACTCACCAGAACACAAAAAGATAAAGCAGAACAGGAAAACCTAAAATCCGCCATATCAGACCACTGTAAAAGGAACAACCACATTATGGATTGGGACGGGGCTCAGGTCATTGGATCGGAAAACAACAAGTTCAAACGCTGGATCAAGGAGGCCATTGAAATCAGGAAACGAGGCACGGACAGCATTAACCGTGATGACGGCGCGTTCCTCCTTTCACACACCTGGGACACCCTCCTCCAGAGAACACCGGGCGACGGGAGGCATGGTCAGTCTGAGCGACCTGCCAGGTCCATCAGGCTGACCACGCCTACAGGAAGTAACAACAGCTGATATA